CCTCGGGGTCGACAAAGTCAAGAGGTGGAGGGTTGTAAAGCTGTGGGGACAGCTGGTAATGAAGTTGGAGATGTAGATACCCGGGGTCACAGTGTCACCAAGAGTACACAGAAGGATCGATGCAGGGACGGGACCAGTAGAGGTAGGTACTACCAAAGTACAATCTGGACCGAAGCCAATAACATCACGACCAAGGAGTCCATCGGAGGAACCAGCCAGCAGACTATGAGTAACATAGGGCGACCAAGCAACGTGGTGGGGGTTGCCAGAACTGTCGTAGACGGTGAGGGTCGTATGCAATAGACAATGACTGATGGGGCCGCCTTTGTGACTAGCGGTATCAAAAGCAACTGGATCGACTAGAGTGAGAGTCGATGATGGCAAGTGGCGTTGTAAGTGAAGAGCGGCAGTATGAGTGATGACTGAGCGGGTACAACCAGTATCGACTTCAAGACGGAGAGCACCGAAAGCTGGACAGCGCAAGGTGCAGTGGGCAGGAATAGGGCTCGAAGACAAAGTAGTGCAAGACTTGACAACCTGAGATGATGAAGTGGTTGAAGTGTCAGACTGAGGTGGCTTCTCGTGTTTGTATGGGCAGTCGGGACGGCGGCAAATCCCATTTGCGACATAGTACATGCATACGTTGTTGGTAAGGCAAAAGTCTCGCAGGGGTTGACTCAACGGCGGGCCACGCGTGGGGGCACGAGAGGGACCAGCATTGTCGGCAGATTTTACCGGATTAGAGTTAGTAGAGAGAGCACCAGAGGGCCTAGAAGCTGTACCGTGGGACTTAGAGTTCTTGTTGAAGTCGGGGTTCTGTCGCAGATGACGGTGGAGTCTGTTGGCCAGGTCGTCGACGGTGTCACAACCAGCATAGATGGTGGAGGCTAAGGTGCGTAGACGAGGATAAAGCGAGCGACGGTATACACGCAAAAGCTGGGCATCGGTCACAGAATAGCCAACGGAATCGGCCTCGTACTTGAGGAGAGACAGGCGATCAGCGAGGGCCAGGACAGTTTCGCCATAGTGCTGCTTGAAGTCGTCGAACTTGTCATCGAGATTGTCGTGAGAGTTGGATATGTGATACTCTTGCTCAGCCCAAGAAGCACCTTCGCGAACCATAGCGGCATAGTCTTTCATCCAGAGATCACGGGGTAGACAGGAGCGTTGGACGGCTTGTCTGAGGGAGGTCTTGGCGGGCTCGTCGAACGCGCGAAGTAGAAGGAGCCAAGCTTGGCGCTCGGAGAGATCGGCCTGGACAACTTCTTGGTAGAGGTTGTTGAGGAAAGATGTGATGCTTCGGTCGTCAGTACGGCCACGATAGGGGGTGTTGTTAGGCAGAGTAATACAGCGGACAACATTGAGATACTTAGTGGAAGTGGTGTCGTGCGCAGAGTCTGTACCCGAAAGGCTGAGATTGTCGGTGACAAGTAGACTAGGGGTCTGTGGTTGCCCGGGTGTGCTGAGGGGGATCTGTGGTGTTTGAGTGACGGCGGAAGGGGCCGCCGAAACACACGGGGTGGGCTTGTAGTAGGAGTGGAAAAGTTTGCGCATCTTGGCTCTGGTCGCAGGCGATGCCCCGTTGACGCGGAACTGGTCATCGAGGTCGGAGGTAGTGAGATATCGAAGGTTGTCGATAGAGTCAAGGCCGAGGAACTCGAGAAGAGGCCCGGGTTCTCCACCATGTGCCATGACTGATGCTCAACAGGAGGTAGATAGGGGTTAGGGGTTACACAACACGTGATTCCATGGACATTCCATGTTCGTGCGA